GGGGAGACACATAAAGAAAAAAACAGTCCTGGTTGCAAGCAAGTTATTTACAATTTGTTAAAAGGCATAAAACCCAGGTAGTGCTGTTATAAGCCAGAGTCCCTGGCCCTGTGACCAAAGGCTGGAGAGGCAAGCAGATCTTGAGGTACTGAGGTGACAGCAGCACTCATCAAGAATGGGGATCTTTCTTTAATTCTAATGAAGAGCCACGGAAGTGATAAGCATCCACTTGCTAAAACCTCAGAGGACCATTTTGATAGGAAGGGATCAGAGACCATAGAGGGGTCTAATTTTCCCCACTAATTTGCCCATCACACCAGGCTTTCTGAGGCTGGTATCAGACCTCACGTTAGTGAAATACAGTCTTGTGTACTAAAATAATAAAATGGGTTGAAAAATATATATATTTTTTAAGTAAAGCGACTATTTATTCCTTCTACTATAACTTCCCCCTTGGTCCTTTTTTTAATCCTTATTTTCAAAGCTCAAATTTTGGGATGGATTCAGATTTGCATGTTTGGCTACTTGGTTTGTGAGAAGCCTCTGACCTGAACTTCCTTCTCTCATGTGGTTTGCCACCAAGTCTGTGATTTCCTCCAAATCCAAGGTCAAGTTCAGGTCAGAGGTCCTGCCTCATTTTGCTTGTTCATTGATTGCATATCCTGCTTACATATATTATTTTACAATAATGCTGGAGTAATTCTAAAAGCTCATGGAGTAGGCAGAATAACTGCTTCCCTCCCCTGCAAAGGTGTCCATGTCCCACTTCCTGGAACCTGGAATATGTTAGTTTATGCACAGAGGGACATTAAGGTTGCAGATGGAATTAAAATCACAAATCTGCTGCCTTTGCAATGGGGGGGTGGTGGTTATTCTGGATTAGCAGGTGAGCCCAATGTAATCACAATGGTTCTTAAAAGTGGAAGAGGGAGGGAGAAGAGAGTCAGAGGGAGATGAGACTGTGGACACAGGTCAGAGCGATGTGACAGGAGAAGCACTTGACCCATCACTGCACGATTTGAAGAGGGAGCAAGGGGGCTCCGAGCCAAGGAATGCAGTAGCCTCTGGATGCTGAAAAAGGCAGGGAAATGGAGTCTTCCCTGGAGCCTGCAGAAAGGACCACAGCCCCACCAACACCTTCATTATTTTTTTTAAATTGTGGTAAAATATATATAACAGAAAATGTACCACTTTAACCATTTTTAGTGTATGATTCAGGGCCACTACGTGCATTCACACTGTTGTACAGCCATCACCACTATCCATTTCCAGAACTTCTTCATCATCCCAAACTGAAACTCCGTACTCATTAAACCTCCCAATCTCACCTGCCCCAAACCCCTGGTAATAACCTCGATTCTACTTTCTATCTGTCTGAGTTTGACTATTCCAAATATTCTCTTTTCTAAATCCCCACTCAACTCCTCAACTCTGAGCCAGGAGTGTATCTTCTACTCAGCTCTATTTGATACTCTCTGGCCCCAGGTCCCTTCTCGGTTGGCATGTCCAGTGAGTGCTCTTTGGTGATCTGTTTTATTGGCTCCTGAGCTTTCTTGGTCTGAACTCTAAGCCCACTGGGCATATCACGCTCCGATGGTTGACTGTTACCCAGGTTTACAAGCTAAATATTTTTGCTGATTCTTTTTCTTTCTGTTTCCCTGAAAATTTTATATTTGCTAGGGGACAGAGATAAAGCATCTTTTTTCATCCTTGTACCTGGGGTCAAAGTCATTGTTGGAGCCCTTTAAGGCCTGAGGCTGCTGTCAGCATCTACAGGCAGGATAGCACTGCCCATGAGTCTCAGCATTTTCCTCTATAAAAGCCCATTTCATTACTTCCAGGAGTCATGCCTCATCACAAGCTTGTGGCATTTGTCACTTTTTAACCCTCATTCTACTGAGGAGCAAAGCAATATGTCTGTCCTCAGAGCTGGCATCGAAATTCATGATCTCGTTTCTGTGTCTTCTTCCAGTTCTTGTGCTTGGACACTTCCTGACCTTGTCATTGTCTCATCTCTCTAATTCAGCGACCAGCAACCGGTGGTCCATGAGGTCCGAAAGGCTGGCGACTGCTGTTCTAATTCACAATGAGGTGGGATGGCCCAGGCAGACTTGAATCTACCTACATGTGCCATTGGACAAGTTAAATTTCTTCCCAGTGTCTCAGATTCTTCATCTCTGACATTGATGACAGCAATAGAATCCAAACACTTGGGTGAGACAGGAACACTATGTGTGAAGGGTCCCATAGGCTACCTGACTAGAAAGGGATCTATTGGGATTCATTTCCTTCCTGCCTCACTGTCTGTGCCTCCGGTTTCTCTTCCATGAATTCAGGTCCTTCTAGCTATAAAATTCTTTGATTCTAGGCCATGAAACTCACTGCTGAAGTGAACTTTTACAGGGCTAAAAGTTCAAGGCTAGGTAGGCTTCCTCCAGATACTAAGTCACCTTAGCTCATGCCATTGTGCATTATCATTTGTTTAGATGCTAAAAACACACAATTTAATTTCCAATCTGGACATACCAGCCAATTATAAAAAAGGATGGCATTGCCCTGTAGAGAAAAGCTGAGTGTAACTTGGTCTTAGTTCAGGAAGGTGAGGGGACTGCTTGGGCAGAGAGGCCTGTGAAGGGCTGATGGGGTTTGTAGGGGTTGGGTAACAGGGCCCCAGTGGGGACCAGAAGCAAAAACTATGAGTGGGACAATAGGCATAAATTAACCCAATATTTCTGTCCCCTGGAAAAATCAGAGAAACTTCTGTGCCAAATATTTTGCACTGTGTTTAGGTATTCAGGCTCAGGAGTTAGACAGCTGAGTAGTTTAAATCCCAGCTCTGCCATTTATTGGCCGTGGCTTGGGAAGATTCTGAGCCTTTCCTAATCTGTCTTTATCTGTAAAGTTGGACTAATTTTATAGACCAACCTTATAGGGTTGTTGGAAGGATCAACTGAGAATTGTGCCATAGCACTTAGCACCTTGTTTGGCACATAATAAGTATTTATGAAATGGTATCATCATCTTCATCTTCATCACCACCGTCATCGTTATTATGAATACTTGCACGGAAATGTAAGGCTGGAGGATTCCCAGAGGACGAGTAGAGCCCATTTCAATGCCAGTACAAGAAAGGAGGCTTTGGTGACAGTACAACCCCACATAAAGAACTTGTCCCCCTCGAGAACTACCCCAAATAAGATCAGGAACTTAACAAGATCAGGAACTTAACAAAGAATGTGGGGACCATGGGTCACCAAGTTAGTGTTAAAATTTGCATCTTTGTTGATTAATTTATGAGTATAGTTCTGTGCCCCTAGTGCTGTGCCCCTAGTGCTTGCAAGGTAGGTGAATGGGGTTTGATCACTACTGGGTTGGCATGGGCAACCTGTCCAGGTGTCTGTTTTCACAAAATTCTTCATCTGAATAATCTAGGCCAACAATAGGAAGGAGGAAGGTTACAGAAATAATCACCATCACCCCCTTGACCCCCTTGCCCAACCATATTCACACACGCAACAAAACTACTATTACTTCAATGTAAGAGATGAAGAAAACAAGAGTCAAAAAAGGGAACTCACTTCTCTGAGGTCATATCGTCAGTGAAGATGTGAACTGAGGTCATTTAGCTTCAGATATATGCTTTTCTGTTCCTTCTCCACTGCCTTTGAATCTGGACACATCCTTCTTAACTTGTATCTACACTGTGTTCCACAAATGATCTTTTAGGAATTCTTTCTGAACCATGATTTTGTTTCTGTGCAAAACAAAGGACAGATACAGTGACAGAAAATAGAAGGTGAGATGGGAGGGCTACTTTGTTAAGATTCATTATTGGGCACGAGGGAGATGCCCAAGGGTTTTGAAGTGCCAAAGGGTATATGATCCCAGAGGTGATGGAGAAATATACACACTCGTCACAGATGGTGCCCCCTTCTTAGGGACAACAGAGTCAAGCTGCATTCTCATGGGCACTGTGACTTGTTCTGGGAATATCTCATGTTGGCAGAGCCACACTACTAGGGTTGTCCAATGCTCTCAGTAAGAGGATTAAGTCTAGGAATAAGGCAAGAGAAATTTCCAGAGACTTTGAGATAAGGTCACTATGGATACAAAGATAGCTCTGAGCACCTCATTCAGGTTTCCTTTCTTATTAAATCTGAAGCATTTGCGTCAACACTGCCACCTGACCTCTCTGTGAACTATTCCCAGCATGTTTCCCTCTATCTATCTCTCTCTTTTTCATCTTGGGGAGATTATTGCTTCAGTGAAGGTTGGTAGACTTTTTCTGAAAAGGACTGATAGTAAATATTTTAGGCTTTTCAGGCCATATGGTCTCTGTTGCAACTACTCAATTCTGCCACTGCAGAATGAAAGCACCATAGACACTGTCTAAATGAGTGAACATGACTATGTGCGGATAAAACTTTATTTACAAAAAAGGGCAGGAGGCTGAACTCTGCTTTAGTACTGTGCCTGCCCATTCCACTGGTTTCATTTCCCAACCATAAATACTCAATTATTTTCAGTCTCTTCATTACTGACAAATTCTCTAAGCCCCCAACTAAAATTCTCACGGAGTAAGGCTCAGGATCCTTGCAGCTGAGACAGGATGAATTTTTGCTGAAAGACAAGTTGTACTGAACACTAAAATGTGAATTCACCTGGGAGAAGAAGGCCACTAGAAGACACTTCACTCCAAACTCTCTTTCTAGGGATTCCAGTGGCAGAACCTCATGGGTGAGGAGTCCCAAACAACTCCACCCCATGTCCCTGGCTGTCCTACCCTCTGAGTAATGGGGAGAACCATTTGGGGTTGTGATGATTCTGTCTCCTTTGAAGCCATCTGATGAAACTGTTTCCACCAACCATCAGTACCCAGGAGGAGCCCGTGTGACACAAGATGAATGGAATAATTTTATGGGATGAGGGAAGACTCTGTGGAGGCATCTAACAAGCATATTTTGGAGAAAAAATTACCTGAAGCATTCGGAAAGAAAACTATGCAACATGCCAAACCCCCACCCACAATAAAGGGTATAAAAGGACCATGGAGGAAGGAGAGACTCAAACCTCACCTATATCCACCTCCATCAGCTCGTCTGTTGTTCCATCACCTCTCCCAGTACCATGCCTTACAACTGTTGTCTGTCCAACCTGAGCTGCGGCTCTAGCTGCCCCTCCCGGCCCTGTGTGGCCCCCAGCTGCCATGACATCCCTCTACCTGGGGCCAGCAACATCCCAGCCAATGTGGGCAACTGTGGCTGGTTCTGCGAGGGCTCCTTCAATGGCAGCGAGAAGGAGACCATGCAGTTCCTGAACGACCGCCTGGCCAGCTACCTGGAGAAGGTGCGGCAGCTGGAGCGGGAGAATGCGGAGCTGGAGAGCCGCATCCAGGAGCGCTGCCAGCAGCAGGAGCCCCTGATGTGCCCCAGCTACCAGTCCTACTTCCGGACCATTGAGGAGCTGCAGCAGAAGGTGAGGAGTTGGGTATGTGGGGGCACAGCAGCAACTGGCTGTCTTTGAACAATAAGAAGTTCTCAAGTTTAGGTGGTGCTCACAGTGGAACCTTGTTTTCAGATTCTGTGTGCCAAGTCTGAGAACGCCAGGCTGGTGATACAGATTGACAATGCCAAGCTGGCCTCTGATGACTTCAGAACCAAGTATGTTGAAACTTTTCAGCCAGGTAACCTCCAAGGTCCCTATGGCTCCTTCATGGCCCTGTGGGCCTAATGTTGCCTAGAAGAGAAGAGGAAGCATTTCCCCTTCTTTATTTCTCCTCTTATGACTAGATATGTGAAATTCGTTTCAGAGCCCAGATTCATATGTTATCTGCTCTTCAGTCTCTATTGGTCCTTCTTAAACCCCCGAATTCAGAAATTGAAGTTCATTCTTAGAGAATGGATTGGTTTGGTGGTGTATTAACCAACAACATTGAGAGGAGAGAGAGACTTCATTCCAGGAGTCCCCATGGGCACCTTTGGGTGTTAGGATGAGTCAGGTTCCCTCCAGACTATCCATGCAGAGCTTGAGGGACACATGGAAAAGAAGGGACGGAAAACTGTGTCAGTTCAAAGAGAGCGAGGCAATGCCATTCAAACAGGACATGGGGCAGGAAGATGGGCTTCCTTCCTGGCTCTTCCTCCCACTCCAACCTGTATGTGCAGGTACGAGATGGAGCATTCCTCCCGGCAGCTGGTAGAGTCAGACATAAACAGCCTGCGTAGGATCCTGGACGAGCTGACCCTGTGCAAGGCCGACCTGGAGGCCCAGGTGGAGTCCCTGAAGGAGGAGCTGCTCTGCCTCAAGAAGAACCACGAAGAGGTGAGAGAAAAAAACAAACACCAACAACAATAGGCTTCAGAGCTAACACTTCAGCATCAGGTATGAGGAGACACTTGCCCATCAGGATCCCTGGTTGGTACCTTTCTCTGAAGAATCAGGGTCAGAACAGGGAATAATGATGCTATGTCCATAGCATACAGCAAGGTGAGCTGGGAGGGTTGGGTAGGTGCTGGAGATGCTGAGGAAGAAAATCCAGGTTCTCTGTTGGTCACTGTTGGGTCCCTAATTTGGTGGTAGAGATTGAAGGAAAAAAAAGACATAAGACATAGCCCCTCTCTTCAAAGGCCCCACAGTCTTGTCTCTGGTCTGGGGGAGACAACAATGTAAAAACATGATGTAATCCCAGCAGAGGGAAATAAGTGCTATATGAGATGTATGAGCAGCCCTGAGAACAATCCAGTCTGCTTGAAAGGTAACTCTTCTCAGAGGCATGTTATGGAGACTGGGAAAACTTTAGTACTTGGGTGTTGTAATCTGAGGGAGGAAGCTGAGCAAAGACACGAAGTGGCAAAGTGAGGTATATTTGAGAATGGCCATGAATGGGTATGGCTGGGCATGCGGTACCTGTAGGGATGTGACAGGAAATGACAAAGGACCTGCGCATGGCCAGGAGTTGGGACTTAGTCTTATAGGAAATATGGGTCTATTTCAGTTTTCCCAGAAAGGAATTGATGTGACCCTTATTTGAATTTATTTGTATATAATATCTGTGTCAGTCTTTGGAAAAGTCAGGATATTCTTTTCAGTGAACTTTTTGGCTATCGCAGGAAGATAGCAGATCTATTTCTGTGGGTTCACACCTTTCCCTTCCTCCATTAGGAAGTCAACACCCTGCGTTGCCAGATTGGAGACCGCCTCAATGTGGAGGTGGACGCTGCCCCCACTGTGGACCTGAACCGCGTGCTCAACGAGACCAGGTGCCAGTATGAGGCCCTATTGGAGACCAACCGCAGGGACGTGGAGGAATGGTACACCAACCAGGTGGGCATCTCAGCACATGGTCACCCAGGACCTTGGGACCCTTAAGGCAGGGTCTGATCCTGTCTCTTACCTTTGGTGTTTCAGACCCAGGAGCTGAACAAGCAGGTGGTGTCCAGCTCAGAGCAGCTGCAGACCTGCCAGGCAGAGATCATTGAGCTGAGACGCACGGTCAACGCCCTGGAGATCGAGCTGCAGGCCCAGCACAACCTGGTGGGTATTGTTCAGACCTGCTGGTGAGAAAGCAGGGGAATCAGTCACAGGGCAGCTCTTTGGGTCATAGTCTCTTTAACTCTGGAAGGTTGTGACTTCTATGGAACCTTGTGGGGGGACGTGCTAAATAAAGGAACAGCTCTGTGACATTCTTCCTCTTCCCCACACAGAGGGACTCACTGGAGAACACGCTGACGGAGACTGAGGGCCGCTACAGCTCCCAGCTGTCCCAGGTGCAGTGCATGATCACCAACGTGGAGGAGCAGCTGAGTGAGATCAGATGTGACCTGGAGCGGCAGAACCAGGAGTACCAGGTGCTGCTGGACGTCAAGGCCCGGCTGGAGTGTGAGATCAACACATACCGGAACCTTCTGGAGAGTGAGGACTGCAAGTGAGTATGAGGCAAAATATTTCTGGGGAAGTGTATGTGAGACTAATGACACTGTAGACACTCACATGTCGGCCATATTTTCAACTCACCCAATAACATTAATCAAGTGTCTACCTTTTGACAGTTAAGCATATATGCAAGGTCAAAGGTAAAGTGCATACATCCCCTGCCTCATGGAGCTAACAATGGAAGTAATATTTTTCAAAAGGACAAGTTTCCACCTCTGCCCATGTCATTCTGGGGAAGGGAAAAGGATTTGGTAATAATCACATTTGATTCCAACTAACTCCACCACTGTGAATTCATAGGTTGTTTCATTGAACTTGGTGTTTTCTCTGTCCTCTCTCTAATCCATTCTAAAACTCTGTTCTCCCAGCCTCCCCTGCAATCCGTGTGCTACCACCAACGCTTGTGGAAACTCCTGTGGGCCCTGTTAACAAGTTGCTGTTTACTTAAATTCTGGCATCCTCTTTGAAGACGACAATGAAGTCATTTAGATCAAACATGGAAAAGGTTCCTAGGTACTACTTTGCCGGAGCTCAGTTGCCTTTAGACATCTTGCACGCCAACTATGATATTTCTAGACATGGAAATGCTTTCCAGATCCAACAAGCAAAGACACACCAAGTTCCAATGTCTGGAAAACTCCCTCCTGTTGAAGGTTGAGTCTCTCTGTATCTGAAGATGTCCAGCTCCCTGTAATCTGAGCTCCAGGTATTACTTTAGGGCGTTTCCTATACATATATGTCTCCTGCTTTCCTGGCTTCTTTGGTATTCTCTGGAATGCAAGGAGCCTACTTCATTTACTTCCCAATAAACTTTATTTCTCTGGCATTGTAAATGTGTTTCTCATTCATATTCATGCATTGTAAAGTTCTTCTCATGGCTGTTCCATAAAAAATACCCCTTCATTAGGAGGTTGACATGAGGTGAATGACTGAACCCAGCCACCATATTCCAGTAAGAAAGGGCTATCCCCTGGGAGGCTCCCACCAAGGGAAGACCATGAAGAAAACCTGGCCTTCAACACTTGATGCCCATCTTGCTTTGGCTGCAGGGCCCTTGACAATTCTGAGACGCCTCTCCAACCTCACTGCTCTCTCCCACTGCCCCTTCATCACTGTGAAGTCCTCTGCTTCCCTTTCTCCTACACTGTGAAGACCAGCTTCTGCAGAAACTGCTTCAAAAGCAGCTACCTCTTCCTTTCAACATCTTGGCTGCACCTGCACCACCCATATACATACTTGTCCTTCCTTCAAAATGTACCTTCAATGATTTCCTGCACCCTCCGGGTCCTCTTCTTATATCTCTGACTATCCATTGACGGACTCTCAATTAGCCAACTTCCACTTTCTGTCCCAAATAGAAGAAATGCCCAATATCCTTGGCTCTTTGTTTTGCTCTTTCCACATCCCTCGTCAGGAAGAGCTAGCACCTCTATGCTGATGATGCCGAAATCTCACTCTCACCCCAGCTCCAGCTTTGCTTGCCGTAGGACAGTTTCACTTGGTATCAGGCCATCACGGCCCATTTAATGGAACTAAAACTTATCTTTGCCAAACTGGTTAATCTTGTACTCACTTATTATGCCCAATATTTTGTAATCAAAAGATCCTTTAAATGCAGGCAGGCGTGTCTCCTTACCTCCCTCTCTTCAAGTTTACTTTTTCCTCAAGGTCTTTGCTCATATCTATAATGTTCTTCCATGACCTCTTTATCTTTTATTTCCTATAATTCCAAAAAAGGCCAATGTTCATTAAATCTCCAGCAAACATTGATTCTACCTTATCTCCCACTTGCCTCGTTTCTGAATTATTAAAACTCTCAAGTCTATCAACCACTTTATAGATTATCTATTTAACCTAATGCTAGCTCACCGACACAACCACCATCATTCATCTGGTGTGTGTGCCAGCACAATGAGGGGTGCTGAGAACACAGAAATAAATGAAGCCCAATCTTGGCCCACAGCACATTTAGAGTCCAGGGTGGATAAGACAAAGAGATAACTGCCACATATCTTGAGACACTCATCAGTGTCTCAAGAAAGGTGTAACTAAAGACTGATGACTTTCCGAGGTCTGAGGGAGTGATAAGAAGAGGCTCCAAGAAGGAGGCAGCGATCAATCAGGGCTTTGAAAACCCAGATATTCTGATTATATAAATTTTGTCTGCCTGTCTCATTGACTACACTGTTTTCACCTGATCAAAATCTAGTGTAAACCATGAAATACTATACGTGGAACAAACAGGGAATAGTATCACTGGTGAGGATTCATGAGAAGGACATTAAAACTTTATATACTTCCAACTTCAATCAACTATGACTACATGACATTAGCATAATTCTGAAATAAAGTTTCATGGGATATGTTTGGACAGATGAGTGTGTGCAGGTCTGAGAAGAGGGAAAGTTTTTCCAAGCATGAACTTTGCCTGGTAAGGAGATGAAGCAGGAGGTGTGTTTAGAGCCTGACAGACCAATTTTTAGCCTGGAACAGAGGATATGTGTGGCAGTGGAAGATGCAACTGCAAAGTAGTTAGGTAAAATCACATCTGGCAGTGCTCTGAATGGTTACCTGTGAGATTTGCTTGTAAGGAAGGCTGGCAGATGATATATCAGGCAGCTATGTATAGGCTGGGTTGTGGTGGGTCCTAGAAGATGGTGGGATTAGGTGAGAAAGAAGGAAGATCAATCAGGAGGTTGGTAAAAAACAAGGACTGACTGAGATGAGTGGAGGTGGGGGAGTGGGTGGGGCAAGGGTGGGGTGGATTTCAGAGGCTCAGCTTCAAATATGGAAGCTGATTAGAGGTAGAAGAACAATGGAGTGAGATGAAAGGAAACTAGTACTGATTGGATACCTACGATGGGTCAACATGTGTGAAGTTTTTGAGCCTGAGAAAATGAAACAACAGTGGGTCTCGAGTGGAAAGAACTGAAAGAAAAAAAGACTGCATTTGGGAGAGACACTGGCGTTACCTAACTATAGTTAGAGCTGCAGGACTTGTTCAGATTGTCAAGGGGAAGGTGTTCAAGTATGGAAGGACCTTGAAACCACTGATAGGAATGATAAAGTGGGCCTGGAGCTCTCCAAAGCCCTGACATGAGGTTCTGCCTTGGGTAACTCGGTCCCTGAAGATAGAGATGGCATCTGGGTAAAAGCAGTTGGAGAAAGAAGGGGAGGAACAGCTGAAGTGACACAGAAGTAAAACAAAGTCACAGTTGTTGGTTTTTAATACGTATTTTTGTTGATTTCAGAGAGGAAGGGAGAGGAAGAGAGAAATAGAAACATCAATGATGAGAGAGGATCATTGATTGGCTACCTTCTGTATACCCCCTACTGGGGATTGAGCCCACAACCTGGGCATGTGCCCTGACCAGGAATTGAACCATGACCTCCTGGTTCATAGGTCAGCGCTCAACCACTGAGCCATGCTGGTTGGGTGGAAGTCAGAGATGAGAATTCAGACAAATCCACTGGAAACAGCAATGGAGAGATAAGTGGGGGAATATAAAGGGTCTGTGGGATGCTGGGGGAAGAAGCCGTATTTCAGCGGCTTTCAGTCTGTCTCAAACCATCAACTTGATAGTGATCTTATTGAAAAAGTTCAAAGCAACACATTCACACTAAACACGAAGCTTGAAGCTTACGTTGCTCTATCCTCTGTGGGCTACTAAAAAGGTTTTTGAATCTGCTGTCCCCTTTGATCTGCAGAGCAGTCCCATAACAGGTTCTCATTCTGTCTGAATCCAGCTTTCCCAGAAGACGAGGACAATGAAGTTCCATTGCTTGGGGTCATTTCATGTTCTTTTTTACTTCTCTGTTCTAAACTGTGCAGAATTAAAAACATAGTGATGAACTTTGCATTTTTCTGACGTGGATTGTCCCTTATGGCCCCTGTTGGGACTCCATTTCCACTGTGACTCCAAGACTGAGTATAAGAGAAGCAATGGTGGCCTTGGGGAGGGTTTGTGGAATGAGCCCACAAGCCCATCTTGAGGTGTCTGTTCCTCTCTTTGCTCAGGGCCTCTTGCTACTGACCTGGCACATTTTCTAGGTCCTCTCTTCCATGTCTCTCATTGGAAACCCTGTTTGAGCATCTTCTCAGAGCCAAAACTGTGGGCTTAGTTCTTGGGTTACCATCACAATTCCTCCCCTCAATGTAGTGAGGCTGGGCAGTTGATAACTTGGCAACAGTCGCTTTTATAAAACAGTCTATGGAAGTCTTATATCCTGATCTCATGAGTAGCTCTCACTGGGGCTGGCTCAAAATAATGGGTTCATGCTGGTATTGACAGTGTGTGCTTCTTAATTCCCAGTGGGTGACTTTTCATCTGTCTCTGGCATAAGTCAGTCCTGCTCAGTGTGTGCCTATTGATACTATTGTTGGCCTCTCCTTGCTGTGTGTACACATTAAAATACAATTAATTGACAAGTGGTTCAATGTGTTACTTTGCATTTCCTAGAGAACACATTTTATATTTCTCATTTTTTCTTTTTTACTGAATTTATTGGGGCAACATTGGTTAATAACATGATATACGTTTCACGTGTATAATTCTATAATGTATTGCCTGTATACTGTGTTATGTGTTCACCACCCCAACTCAAATCTCCATTTATCATGGTGAGGATTTCAAGTGCCAGGACCTGGCCACGCGGGAAGATGGTTTTGGGAGGAGAGTGGGGGGGCGGGGACTCCTAATGCCTTTAAAGTCCTGCCACAGGGAGGATGGCCTCAGCAGAAGGTCTGCCTTGACTCCACTCCATGGTTAACTACCACTGATGACTTTACGTGTGATCTTTCCCACGAAAATAGCCTCGGCTTCCATCATAAATAGTATCCTTAAATCTCAACTGCAATTTGCTCCCATCTGGAAACCAGAAGCCTTACCACGGCGTCTGCCACAATTACATGGGCAGGTGTAAAACCTCTCTGTTTGTTAGGATTTGATTTGCTCATCATGTTTATTGAAGGGTCATTGACTAGAGACAATGCCATTGCTTATGCAAAGGCAAGAATTCTCAATTCACAGTAAGTGGAATAAATAAAGAGCAATTGTCTTCCAGAATTCCTGGGGAGCTACTTGAAACCTGGCTCTTTTCTCCATAGACCCAAGCCCTCTCAACCATCATTACCTAACAACCATGTCGTTATGCAGCAATCATGGTTACTTCTACTCAAAAGTGGGAATAGTCGTGTTTTCTAAACTCTGCCTTCCACTATTGAAGGATAATCCCCTCTGGATTATTCCATTCTGACTGACATAGAAGCTATAGTAATGGTTATAGGGACCCCCATGGACTTATGTACCAGTTTGCAACACAGTATGCCTTTCCTATTCTTCTATATTTTCCTCTTTTGAAGTGTGGGGAATAGAAGAAGGGGAGAAAGACAGAGAGAATCCTATGAATCCAGCTACTCAATTTATGTT